CACTCGACATTGCTCGCTTTGGCCCACTGAGGTCCGTCTGGTGCTTTCCTTTCGAGGCTAAGCACCAGACGGTCAAGAAGTGGTGCAAAACGAGCAACGATGTCGGACATGAAGGGAAGAAATCGCACGTGGAAGAACTTTTTGCCCAGCTTTCTCACTAGCCGGGCCAAATGTTCCTAGCCAAGCCCACGCACCTCCAGCTTCAATGAGTTGCCCTCCTCCGTCTCCGCTTTCGCCGCGTCGCGAAATGCATGCAAAGCCCCCAAGCTCGCATGAGGCCATCATCCTCAGTCAGGAGCACACTGTTGTGTGCGTTGACATGGGCTGGCGGGGGTACCGCAGCATACACGCCGTGTTGCGTCGTTCGTCGCTGTCGTTGCCCGCTCGCTTGCAGATTCAGGGATCGTATGGGGGCGAGCTCGCGGGCGTCTCGCTTCTGCGTCGGCTGGATCAGCTTATCGCGTTTCTCCCACCCTCCCAGCCTGAGTCCCAGTCTTCCACCGTCCCAGCCCAGCGTCTTCAGCCACTGCAGGAGCCCCCGACAGGTCTGCTCGGCGAGCACTTTGGCAAGGCGTCTCCTCTCCTCTCCTCCCATCCCGCCCAGGCCTGGTCATCTCCTTCTCGGCGGCTCCGTCACCGTCCATCAGCTGCAAAAGATTTTGCTCCGTCTCATCTCCGGCTCCGTCCTTAAAGAGGAATGCATGCAAACATGCATATGCTGTGTGTTCTTTCGATGCGGTTAGATGCGGTTCGCAGGCAGCCACGCCACAATGAGGCTCTGCAAGGACACGATGGACCACAACGGCAAATGGCCCTGATGGTGCTTCGGTGCCTGACCGTCTGACTTTGTCCTTGCACTCAATACTGAGGAGCAACTGAGCAAGTACGCAGGTTATCAGCCACATACATCCTGCCTGTCTGTGTGTCTCTCCCTTGTACACCCACGTCCGACATTTCTTCGTATCATGACTCTAATCATTGACAAATCGCTAGGAGCGTACGGGTTTTCCGAGCGTCTATCGGCAGTTGCACCGGCGCACTTCGACTTTGACGAGTGTTCGCTTCGATCGTCTTGCACGAGCGACGACGGCTATATTCCTATCTACGAGGGCTTTCGGTCGCTACGGTTCCTCAGGTCGTCGCGATGTCAGAGCTGGAATGCATGGTCTCCCTCTCGACCACGGCCTCGAGTAGCATCGCCGGAATGTTGGTGTTGCGTCATCGTCGTGTACCCTAATCGATATGAAGAGAAAGTCTCGGTCGCCACTCGCGGCGCCGCTTCAATGCACTCTCATCCATCGAGGCAGCGTTCCTTTGAGGATTCGCAACAGCATACGCCGTCGATTCGATTTCTTGTGTATCTCGGTCGCTGCGCGTTATGGGGGCGTTGGGCGAGTACGATCTCTCATCCGTCGCATTACGACAGCGGTCGTATCGCATTCGGGGCAGCGTGCCTTTGACGTGTCGCAGCGGCATCGGCCGTCGATTCGATTTCTTGTGTGTCTCGGTCGCTGCGCGCTATGGGGGCGTTGGGCGAGTACGATCTCTCATCCGTCGCATTACGACAGCGGTCCTTATCACATACAGGGCAGCGTGCTCTCGTCAATTCTCGTCTGCGTACGGTGCCGATTTGGTTTTGCGCGTCTCACTCGTTCTGCGCTTGTAGGCGTTGAAAATACTCGTACGTCGAAGTACGTCTACGCCGTCTCAGCGATCGGGTCGTACTCAGGGCAGCTTCGCCAGTTCGAGGTTGCGCACCCAGTCGTGTCTTCCTCTGCGTCCCGCGTCGATTCGATTTGTATGTCTTCGCCGCTCCTCGTTCCGGGGACCTTGAGGGACAACGACCTCTCTTCTGTCAAATTGCGTCAGCGGCCTTATCGTATGCGAGGCGTTATGTCTTCGCCGATCCGCGGCTACTTCGTCCAATGACTATATACGAGTCTCGGCTGTTCCACGACTGGGCGCGTCGAAGGGAGTGAACCCTCACCTGTTTCACTACGAAAGCGGTCTTTATCATCTTCAGGGCGGCTTGCTCTTGCCGGTTCGCAGCGCGTCACCGTCATTTCGCGGTTCAGTCCTTGCTGCGTCTGTGAATTGCTGCGAGACATCAAACGCTCGTCCATCGAATTATGTCTCCGCTCATCTCAGCGATCGTGATCGTCCTCAGGGCTGCGTGCCCTCGCCAATTCGCACTTGTGCACGCCGTCGACTTGATTTTGTGTGTCTCGGCCAATGCGCGTTCCGGGGACGTTGGGGGAGAAGCAGCAGCGCCAATTTAGTGGCTTAAGCATGCCGTCGCCGATTTGCGGCTGCTTAGACTATTGACTTACACGTCTTGGTCTGGGCGCGCCGCGGGGGGACGATGTCTTGTCCGTCGATTTACAACATTCAAGGCAGCGCGCTCGTGTCCAGGTCCATTGTGCGTCGATCATTAACTCGATTTCGGGTGCATCGTCGGGCGAGACTATACGTCTTCACCATCTCAAGTTCTGCGTGTGTCACAAAGTGTGGCTGCGTCCGGCTCGTGGGCGAAGGTATGGGTGCTGTGGAGCTGCGCGTCTTCCGTCGATCTCAGTTGGGGTTTGCAAAAGCCGTCGTCCAATCATTTGTCCTCTGCCGTGGGAGGCTCGGCCTTGTTATCGGTGCGAGGGGTACGTGGCTTATCGAGTCGAGACGCGTAAGTCGACGACGAAGACGCAACAATGGTGCGTGCGTTGTCGAGCGGAAGGGAAGAAGTCGTCGTCAAACGGGATTACTTTCTATTGTCGCGTCGGCGTCGGAAAGGTCTTCGACAGGTCTCGTATTGTCGCATCGCCTGTATGTGAAAATCTCTTTCGTCGTCGTCGTTGTGTTGCTCTTGCCCCCCCCCCGCCCCCCCGCTCGTCTGTTGCGGCGAGCTACCCGAATGCAACGCGGCGTGTTTGGTGGGGGCAGCGAATTCATGGCGAGGCAAAGCGGCATGTCGCGTGCGTTTCTGGCTACGCACCGGTCGACTGTGGGGTACGTGCCCGTGCGCGATGGTGTCGCCCTCTATCGATACAGCCACGTCGTCGAGTGGAAGCAAGGGTTTCTCATCAATTCACTGTCTGTAAGCTTATCGTGCGTGTGCGCCACGTAATCGGTTTCAAGGTCCTAGCTGTATGCTCGTCGTGTCGGACGCAAGTACTGGCGTCCTGAGGCCGAAGGCAACTGCGTCGTGTCGTCTCGTGCAGCTTCTAACAGCTGTCGATGGTACTTGATGGATCGCAGCTGTAGTTTAGCGTGATGTGCGTCCTGGGATTTGGCCGTATATTGTGCTCGTCGTATGAGGCCGCATGCCTCTGCTGTCGTTGGCAACCTCTTTTTTCGTTTTCTCGACCTGTGAAGCCTCGCTATTCTCATTTACGATCCATAGCGTCTTCCGGTTCGTCACGACACATACCTCCCCAGCTGCCTCTGAACTTCTTCTCTACGCTTTCGATCGTGACCGTGCTGCCTGACCAAGTGGCGCATGATTGCGGAGTCGCACTATTTTCTACGCGTTGGATCTCTCGCGTCTCTCGTGTCTCTCGTGTCTCTTCAATGTCTGGACTCTTTGGGCTTGCTCATCGCAACCAATAGCAGCGGAGAGTCGTCGAGTGCGAGCGAATGTGCCGAGACGTCTTACTTCTTCCCCGAGGCTGCTCTAAAATCCGCGCGCCCGCCACTCTGTCGCTTAATCCCGATGTTTCACTCGTGTCGTCGTGGGCTAGTCACAATTGCCTCACTGTCTTCGCATTGGCGGCGGCGCTCCTTAGTCAATTGCGAATCCATTCTGTCTCTCACCGCGCCTTCTTGCGCCGCGCCGACAATTAGAGATTGCAGAGACCTGACTGTGCGTCTGCCCCTTCCAACCGTCGGGGACGTGGATGAATAACAGCGTCGAACACATAGTGTATCCATCCATTTTGGGTCGTCCGTATTGTGTACGTATTTTGACTCATGTAAATCAGTCTACGAAGCATCGATCGTTTTTTTTTTGGTATGCGCGTACCTGCCTCGTCTGCTGTGTCTTGAGCTAGAGACATGTCCTTCGTGACCAAATCACAGGCCTAATGCAAGCCCCATCCCACTACTGATGGAACGACCATGGGCATGGGCTGTGTTGTCTCACGACACGCAGGTGCCTGAGGTTGCCGGAGCCAGAGAAAGATGGTACCGAATGAAAAGTCTCGAGGCCCCAATTTGGCCCCAAATAAAAACGAACAACACAACTTCGGTCGGTCGGTTATGGGTTTGACGAGACACCTGTCCCTAAGCCCGGCGCCTACCTTTCGGCGCTACCGGACATTTTCTCTGTCCACAGCACACACCAAATATAGGCAGCATGCACACGCACGAAGCATGCACAAGGCCTGTCTACCCACCCATCCCTATGGTCCACCACGAAAGGAAAGGCACTGGCACCGGCCGACACACAGATGACATCAGAGGGCACTGGCTGCCTTGTAGAACGTTCACGAACACTTCCCCTGGCTACATACACAAGAACGAGCGATATCGCCCGACAGCAAGAAGCCCTGGCAAGTGCACAGAAGCCAGAGGAAGCAAGCGAAAGAACGAAGCCCTCTGAGCCATCACAAGGAACAAACAACCAATCACATCACACCACCATGTACACGGGGACCCATGTGTAAGGCAGGTGCAAGGAAGGCAGGAAGATGTAAGGAAGGCAGGAAGACAAGAGAATGAGAGAGAAGGAAGTGGCCTGACAGGCCGTAAGACCCTGCAACATGAAAGCACACATACCTAAGGTGCATTCCTACCCTCCAACCATTGCGTCAACTTCGGGCAGAGCCTCGCTCGCTCAAAGCTCGCGAGCCCGATGGAGAGCATCTTCATCATCGTGGGCTGGTTGGTTGGTTGGTTGGTTGGTTATTGTGTTTAACGAGACTCGTGCCTGTAACCCCGGAGGGATCCTGTCATATCACCCCCTAAGGGTTCGCAGAGAGGCAGAGTAAGCTCGCAGAAACCCCTACCCCACCAACTCGGCAACAACGCAAGTTCGATTAAAAAAAGTTCGGCACACTGCTGCCGACAGTTCCGTGATAGAGCATGAGCGACGGCATTCAGCAGATCTTCGTGAGACCGTGAACCGTCCCCCTGTCTACCCCTGAATCTGTTGCGTGTGTCTTTCCCCAGGAGTACGCGCCTTTCGCATTGAAGATCGTGACTCTTGGAGGCTCGGTGATTCGGAATCACACCCAATGGGATTGAAAGTTGATCAGATTGAAAGGCGTCGTCTGTTTCAGGTACTCTTCTCCCTTTCTGCCGTGATGGCGCTGGTCTACGGCGTTTCCTACACCATGGGTATCTTGTGTGTATACATATTCACCTTGGGCCTTGTCAATGTGGTGAGTACCCCGATTGACAAAGTCAACTGCCTGATTGGTTCGACTTCGCTGTTCGAATGCAGGTATGCGAAGTCAGCCCCTTCGGTCTGAACAAACTAATGACTGTCCTGCCTTTTATGGGTCCGTAAGTAGGGTACAGTCGTCTAACTCAGACTGTCTGCTCACATCATTATTCCCAGGAGACCTCCGAGGCCGAGGTGTCCTCTACATCCTTGAGGGCCTCATGACTCTGGGACCCACCATGGGTGCGATCGGTCAGGCCGGGGGAAGTCTGCTCCTTATCGCTGGAGCGGCAAGGTAGGAAGTGAGGCGGGCAGACGTGGACGGCCGATCTACCTTCACCTTCTCCAGTTTGTGTTGGTCATATTTCGGGCCGTCACAGACGCCGATAGGGTAATGAATCATATCGAAAACGCATACGCCTTGGGTGATATGAAACATGTCAGGTATGACGATCCATCTACAGCATCACAAGGGTTCAGGCGATATGAGGATCAGGAGCACGATGCAGGGTAAGTGCATACAACCTTATGCAGACCATTTTGCTCGATATATGCGCATGTGCACATCCATAGGTATGGGCAGTTCTGATTCGTACACATATTAAAGCATGGAGAGGATGTACATGTGTAAACTGTCCTGACGCGCCACAGGTCGAGACAGCATGTGTTTGTGCTTATTTGTCCGTTCGTTCGTTCGTTCGTCATCCCTTTAAGCGTGCTTGGGGTCACAGCGATATAGCTAGCGCATCCACTCCGCCGAGAACATCCACTCCGCCGAGAACACACATAGAAGAACCACAGAACCCCTAAACACACAGCTACACAGCTTGGAGTATGTACATAAGCATTGCGAGAGAGGACACACGTGCCCATCCAGAGAAAGCATCAGAAGAATTCAAGGTGGAATGCCTCGTCGAACAAAGCAAGGGGAGGGAGAGATAGGGAGTCGGCGTGTTGCGCCCACTCAGCTTAACGCCACTGGATTGCGAGAACGTAGGGAGAGGGAGCTTCACCACCCCTATGCCGAAGCACGGGCCCACAAAATGAATGACAAACTCACAACACAAAACCAGAGAGAAGAACCAGCTGATGGTTGGCTATTGTATTCAACGAGAATCGTGCTGCAACACCGGCCGCAACCAAAGATTTTCTCGGTCACTGCACGCACTAAGCTAGGAGCATGTACACGCTGGGAAGCATGCAAACAGCCTGTCTACCTAATCCTACCCCAGACACCCACTCCTGGACTTGCAACACGCGAAGGGAGGGAACGTTGTGTGGAGTGAGCAAGCACTAGGGAACCCAAAGCATACGAATCTAACTCACACACACACACCCCACACATACATGACCCCATATCACAATAGGCAGGAAGATAGGTGTATGAGCGACAGGAAGGTCAGCTTCAAGGGCAAAACCTGCAGGCCAATAGAGTGAGGATACGATGTCAGTAGCATGCTGTGAGTGCCGCCATCTCACTGCACACCACAGTAACACACGCCTTCCCCACCACACACGACAAAGACTAACCCAAACCCACAGAGACAGCCAGACAGAATCAGAGAAAGAGGCCAGGTGAGAGTGGCAAAGAGCCCAACAAAGACTGACCGCACACAGCTTCTGCGTACGTACGTGAACCTCCCCGCACCTCACGCAGATGTCCATACTTCACTGCCCGCCACAACCGCTTTGTGTGGCTGCTCATGTGCACGTCGCATTGGGGAAGACGCACACATAACGCGGGGCAACCCGGCACCCTCACACATAACGCGGGGCAACCCGGCACCTAACCTGAGACACGAGGCTCCCCGCGACGGGGCGTGTGCATGCAGCTCATTTCCTTCCTGCGGGAGGGTGGGAGGCAGGCACCTGGCACACACACAGGCACTGAGCATGTAAGACGAGACGTGTGCACGCACCTTTACAACATATACTTGGCACACCACCTCCCCTGGCCCGGGGGAAGTATACAAGCAGGTCAGCCCTTCGCCATCGGGGTGACACGTTACGCAGACCTCAGACAGATCTGGCATTTTTTCCCGAAACCCAGGGGTAACCAAGGGAAACCTTGGTGAGCCGGGTCCGCCGCCCTGGTCCCTGTCTCGTTTTTGCAGGGCTGCTATTTCGTTTCCATGAATGCATCTTCATGCGTTCATAGGAGACGCTTGATGAATGAATGAATGAATGAATGAATGAATTCCGCGCCAAGCAAACCCTAGCAGTTGACCCAAATATTATTTATATCCGGCGCTATGTATGTGGCTGCTGATAGCCGCCAGTGTTGCCGATGGCGCGGCGCAGCAGAACCGAAGAAGGGCGTGCCAGCACTAGCCGGCACCAGTAGTTCACGATGGCAAGAAGGACGCGAGCGGGTACGCTGGCTGTGAGGGCTACACAGACAAGGGAAATGTATGCACCACGATGGAAAGCACACTCAAGGTACGCAAGTACGCAAGCTCCATCACGGCAAAGTTGAGAATATGTGTTGAGATCGTAATGTCATGACTTCTCGGCACCAGGTTCTAATCTGTCATTAAGAAATGGTTGTGAAACCCTCGTACACTGTACGAACCCAGCGTTTTACACCTGACCACGGCTGTGGTGGCTGCTGATAGCATCATTCATTGTTGCGCATGGCGCTATTTACGCTGGAAAGAAAGACGTCGACAGGACCGGCAGTATCTCACAAAACTCCGTGGAGAGCATACATTGTTGAAGTTGCTGTGTGCTGAACACACACCGTGGTCAGAAGGATCAGACGGAGCCCTCGAATCTCGCCTTAATTTCGCCCTCATGCCAACAGCATCACACAGAGGTCCGCGTCAGAGTCCACATGATCAAGAGCACGGCAAAGAACAGACAGAGTCCGGGCTATATACAACCGGGAAAACCCTGCTGGTGACGGGCACGCTATCGTCTCCCAGCGCCAGGGTGGAGATGGCAGGCACATCTCCCTCCGCTTCAGCAGAACTGCTCTACTCGTACGCTACTGTGCGGCGACAGGCACGTCCTCTCTCATCAGTGGCTCATCAGCAAAGAACTGCGCAAGCAGAGGCAGCGAGGGGCGAGAGGAAGAACAGCAAAGAAAAGCCAGCAGCATTGCAGGGCGTCTTCAACGGTCACACAAAACAATGCACACAAAGCTCGCCAACTCAACATACATGGCCCACCGCGGGTCGACATCGTTGAAGATCATGCATGTGTAGCATATATTAGAGTACTGGGCAGCAGAGAGAAGGAGCACGGTCTCTTTTCCTTACTTTTCCGTCTCGACACAGACTGTGCTAACGGCCTGTAACGCCTCGTTTGACGTGTCTCAAGAAGGGATGCGTGTTTGACGTGTGTACTTGTCTATCTGTAAGGTCAGCATGGCAGGCATTTTCGTATGCGTCTTCCTTCTATTTGGGCCATGGTACGGCAGTGCCCTCAGCAAAGAGGAAGTGGTACAACGTAACACCCTACAAGTCTTGCGTCAATTGAGGTCCATGGGCATCGATCTCACAGCGGGAGGGCCGAGCCTTAGAGCCAATGGGGAATTCGAGAATGAACCGAGGCCCTCTTTAAACCTTGAGGCCATAGGGAAAACTCCCTTCGTCTATGCTCATCCTCTCCCCGGAGCCATCCTCGTGTCCCCTCTGACAACCATCGCCTTCAGGCCGAAGAACAAGGTGGACAGAGAAAGCATTCAAGGAAAGATAAGCGTGCGGGGCAATGTGTCTGGCGACCACGATGGAGAGACGCGGCTACTGAGCGACAATCGGACAGTGTATTTCACACCAAATGAGGCCTTCACGCCTGGTGAGACGATTAGCATTTCGGTGGAAAAGGGAATAAAGACCACCATTGGTCGGTCGCTCGCTGATTCCGGGTGGAGCTTCGAGGTTTCATGGCAGGATGTGAACAAATACCGGGCGACACACCAGAGAATGGTGGCAAACACATCTCAAAGCACCAGAGAAGCGGAGAAAGCGGCCGCCAGAGAGAGCTTCGATTGTGCAACAGAAACCGCCTGGGATGGCGAGTTTTATGCTCCCAACTGCGCATACAGGCGAGATTAGCACATACTTTTTGCTCAGAACAGCACACGTGCTTCACATGTTTTCACAGGACACTTCCAGACAACTATCCTCGCGTCAAAGTGACTGTTCGAGGCAACATGTCCGAGTTGTCAAGTGGATACCTCTTCACTTCAGGGCCGGCAAAGTCCCAGCTCATAATGACGTCGACAGCCGATCCAGTGTACTGGCATCTACATGATGAAGAGACACCCCACCTTGAGTTAACAGCCGACAAGAAACTCGCATCGTGGTTTTGGAGCGGTCGAAATGGCGGCAGCGTCCTCGGCTCGGATTACGGTGTGCGACATAGCTTCAATATCCATCATCGAGGCGGTGAGAAACGCCTGCCAATGACAATCGAAGAGCATCGCCTCCATTCGCATCGTTGTGTGACAGCGCTGAATGGGCATGAGTTCCAGTTAGGTCGTAATGGAAACGCGCTGATGTTCAGGTAAGGTGTTTGTCAAGACGACGCCTTTGCCATTCATTTCGGTTTCAGAGATGACTTCGAACTCTTAAACATTACGGAGATTCACCCAAAGATGGAGCCAGCGAAAGGCGTTTTTGGTATTGTTCTTCAAGAGGTTACAAATGAGGGTGAGAACGAAAAGATGGTGAGGGTAGCAAAGGACGACGAAACTCTCCCATCCAGGTCATGTCATACTGGAGTGGAGGAGCTGGGATCATTTACCCTTCGGATTTTGGGAGGGTGATAACTTTATTCGTGAGGGGCTCTGGGATATTTTTCACCCGAATGGTGAGACTCGAAATCTTTTGCATTCACATCGTTTCGAATGCTGGAACCATTTGCATTCGATGATTCTGGGATCATAGCAATTGAGGAAGCTAAAGACGGGAACATTCTTCTCTCGATGCGCAGAATGTCGCAGATCGCAAAGATCGACAGGCATGACTGCCCGGCCATCTGATCAAAGCGGTCTTCCGCAGTCGACTTCTTTGTGTCTTAAGTGCAGGGATACTGGGGAGGTCCTTTGGCGTCTTGGTGGCAAGGGCAGCAACTTCAGGTACGCTTAGACAAAGGTAAAGAATGAGAATCTGCCATGTTTTCTCAGGATCGTAAACGACGAAAGAGGCCAGTTCTACGGGCAACACGACGTAGGAGACATGCGCGGCCACACGATCTCACACATACATGTGTCATGAGGTGTAGGTCAGAGAGGTGAAAAAGAATCGAATCAGCATGTTTGACAACGGGCTACATTCCGAGACTGGGACCTCTCGGGGTGTCGAGTATGACTTGATCTTCGATTCCGATGGTCATCCATTTGAAGCCCGGCTGGTGTATTCATATGACACGGCCACCCGCGTTTACGCGCACGGCAGCTACAGGCGAATGCCCAACGGCAACGGTGTATACTGCTTGGGGTTGGAGGGCACCAAGTGGCAACTTAGGGGGCCCGGTCCCTTCTATGTGGAAACTCGGCATGGAAAGGAGCTCATACGGATGGACTGGACCGCGGATGCCGACAGACTTCAGTTGGGTGGTACATATCGCACCCTCAAGGGCCCTTGGACTGGGACACCTACGTGGCCTCCAGCAGTGGTTCTGGATGACAAAAATCCGAGCAACACACTTCGGTTACATTTTTCTTGGAATGGTGCGACCACGGTGAAGAAGTGGAGAATCATGAGAGGAGAGACCGTTAGTGAACTGATCGATGTGCTTGCCGAGGTGGAGAAGAAGCAGTTCGAGCACTGGGTAGATATCTTGGGGGGAACCCACAAGTGCCAGTACTTCCAGGCAGTGGCGCTTGACGGAGAGGGGAAAGAGTTGAAGAGGTCCAAAGTGCTGGGTCTCGCTGCTTGTGATCTGTAGCCACTCCTACAGAGAGTAACGCTATGATTGGGGTGCGTTACACTCCCTTGTCCTCTGCCTGACGACAGGGGCCACGGAGTATGACAGACATAAGCAGGCCCTTACTACTGCTCAAATTATTGTCACTCTTTTTCCGGCGCACCTCACGTGATGCCGCTTTAGAATATGATAGAACACGAGACAGTGGATCGTCTAAAACTAACAACAAGACGAAATACGCCAGACTCAAAATTGATGCATTGCCAGATTTCACCGCTAATTCTGTTGGTGGTGGTTAAGGGTAAGATTGTCCGTGTGTCCATGCGCTGGGACGGTCGATTACATATCCGCATCTAAACTATTGACAGCAACGAGCAAAGCATTCGCTACCTACCCATGTACGCCCACCCACTGCAATCAACGGGGGTGGAAAGGCCCCCGCTCTAGCAGCAGCCCCTCAGCAAACCCCGCCCTCTCCTGCCCATTCCACCTGCTTGCCCGCCACGCCCTGCTCCGCACCATGTGTGCGTTGCCCTTCTGCAGCAGCACACTAAGTCGGGCCCACCACCTGTCGACTGCTGTCTCACGGAAAAACTCCACATCGCCCTCCTCCATATAGACAGGTGGCCGCATATGCCGGGCCATACGGTTGAGGAGGGCAGCCGCCTCGTCCCCCCACCGTCCATAGCTCTCCGCCGACAGTGGGACGATGGTGAAGTTGCTTGCCCTCGCCTCTGTGTCGTATTTGCTGTGCTTCCTGTCGGCCGCGTTGCGCAGCGCCTTGCCGTCTTCTGCTCCGTTCTGCCTGTTGGTGGTCGCGTGGTGTGCGTTGGTGGAGGGGTCGGGGCGCGTGGGGTGGGCGATGGTGACGTCGCCGAGCATGCCTTTTCCCTTCTCCACCCAGTAGAGGTCGATCCGTTTGCCGTCTGGATCGGTGGTGGCCGGGTAGACGCCCAGACGCGCCAGGTTGACCTCTCGGTCGACGGCGATCTGGACGCTCCTGATGATGCGCCGCCACTCCTCGCACAGCAGGTCGTGCCGCCAGATGCGCTCGTTGCCTGTGCCGCAGCAGAGGAGGTGGTCGCCGTAGGGATCCAGCTGGGTGCCGCACGAGCAGAGGTCCGATGCGAGTGAAGGGTGTTGGGTGGCGCCGATCCTCAGACGGCAGCAGGTGACGAAATCCTCGTTGGTGAAGCGCAAGCCCGGGTGCGCCGGGACCGTCGTCAGCCAGCCGCTAGCTCCTGGGCCTCGACAGCTCCTCAGCCGAGCGCGATCCCTTGACTCCTCGCCGAACTCGTCTAGCAGGGCGTCTGCTTCGATGCGCATCAGGCTGGCGGTCATGTCGTGTTGCAGCCGTGGCTTTGTGCGTCCCTCGAGCAGCTTGGCCAGTGTGGGCACCTCCGTCTCCGGCAGCTTCTCCAGCAGCCTCTCTCTTGCCGCCTCCGCTGCCCGTAGCCATGGCAGCTCCAGTAAGGCTGCCGCTCCGTCCTCCCCTCCCTCCCCCCCTCCCTCCCCCC